TATATATATATATACATATATATATATATATATATATATATTGTTTTAATTATGTGTTTATAAACATTTGTCCAAAATAACATTCAGAGCATGTATGGATCGATCAGGGGCTTTTGGAAAGTGTGTTTGCACCCTGGATATCTCATTACAATCTTCACTATTTTTGATATATTGAGAGGCCCAAGCCCAGAGGAAGAAAAGATGGAAGTTAAAGGACAAAGAGGACAAAATAAAGTGTATTGACTACAGAGTCCTCGTAAAACAAGCATATAATAAGCATATTAGTTAAATCATATATATTAAATTACACTACATCTAACGTATTTATAATTAGTAAATAGTATATCTGATATTTTTTTAAAATAGTATATATAATGATAGTGTTAATAGGTTTTATACCGTTGATTAATAAAAAAATTGTTATGTATGATATCTAACTTTATTTTTTATTAGTTGACACTATAAAATTTATTAGTTTAATTAACAGTACACATAGAAATAAAATTTATTTATAATTATTTTCCCTTACTTTTAATGTTTTTTATAGAATATAGATACTCAAATCAAAAGAAAAATTTATTGTCCCTAAATAATTATACATGTTCAAACATATATGTTCTTCTCTTAATATAGAAAATGTCAGTTTTTTAAACTATCAGCATGCCACCCTTCAGACTAAATTTTTAGAGAGAGAATGACATCTATTAATTAGCTGTTTCTTGTGTAGTTTAGTACTTAAATAAAACTGTTCAGAATTGCAAAGAATTAAACACGTGTCCCTCTCTGTTTTCTCCCATTGAGAAATTGCTGCCATCCATTTAATAGTATGGTTGAATTTGATAATTCAAATTCAAATGCTCCATTTGTTTAATACGTAGCAAATTTGATCAGGGATTGAAATCCTTTATACCAATGATGCATAGCACACCACCACATGCAGATGCTGAGATGAGAACAGAATGCATCAACAAATTCCACCCATTATTAATTAAAATGAAGGATCTGTTCTTAATTTTTACCGCGAGTCTATTAAGTACCAAACTCGTGGTCTATAAAATCCCAAAATAGATAGCTTTTGAACTTTGAATTTGATCCAGTTTACGCCCACATATAGCAGTGTCATTATGCAAATTTCAAACCAAAAGACCAGAATAGGGGCAATATATTCTATTTGAAGCTAGATTGCTTAGATAGTTGGATGGTCCCATCTTAATATTAAGGTAGCTGTAAGAGACTTAAATGGCTAAAATCAACAACAAAATGACCACTCAACAGCCTATAGTTTTATTTATTTATTTATTTATTTATTTATTATTATTATTAATTGTTGACAGCTAGAGAGAGTTGAACAAGTGAAAATTTGTCCTCGTGATTTTGATCACAAATAACAAGCTTGAGTTACGGGTTTAATTACTTCGAAAATATATTGTCAATGAAAGCATTCATCGATTTGGGAATATTGTAGGGATGGTTATAAATGTTGTACAATGAGACGTGGCAATAATGTCATGGAGGACGCTTTCAAATCCCAATGTGATAGAAACGCACCAAATTGTGCGTGTCTCGTAGTTATTTAGAGAAAATGATTTCGCAAATGAGGAATGCTTTCCCCGTTCACCGGTACAAACTAGATATTTTACATATGTTATTTTAGATTTTTTATGTTGGAAATCACTAGTACAAAAATTAATTTTAAAATTGAGATTTTAAAATTGGTTAAAACGTAGCTGATTTTAAAAATGACGCGGTGACAATTTTGTAAATAATGACACAAGATTTAAAATCGACTACATTTTAACTGATTTTAAAAGGTTTGTCTGCTACTTTTAAAATCGGCTATTTAAGAACCGATTTTGTATACTACATACAAAATCGGTTTTTCAATAATCGATTTTAAAAATGTCACTATATAGCTTCTCATTTTCATCTTTCTCTCCATTCCTATCAAAGCCTATACGTGTTCCAACCTTTCTTTGATCTTTCCCTCCATTCCTTTCTCTCATGCTGTCATCTAAAGTCTGAAGCGTCTCATTTTCTTTGCAACACTACTATAGTAAGGTAACATTCTCATTCTCTTCTCATCTCTGTAATTTCGTTGTTGGTTTGGGCAAATGTTGAAAATGGAATGGCCCGTTCTGCAACCAACCAACTTACAAATGTACCCTTGTATATAAGCCAGAACGATATCAGAGATTACAAACGGGCACTATATGCTGAACATATCAATTTTTATTTTAAGTTTGCATTTTATCATATGTTTTATGAGTTATTTCTAATTGTTCTAAATTTTCTTAACAGATGTTTATAGATCGATCACCATTGTCACTAGAAGATATAACCACCATTAGCTAGGGAGCGATGGGCTACATTTTTCATTGAAACATTGACTAGCTACGAGTTATGGTTATAGTTTTACTCATTTTGTGGTTTAGGATGCATAATAATTTGTAAGTTACTTAACTTATTATGTATACATTTATGTATTACATGCTTGTATTTTAAAAACATTTTGATTATATATATGGTTGACATTTACTAACTCTTGTCATTTGTATGTAATTTGGTCAATTGAAAACATATGAATTGTCTAGTATTTTATTAATTTGCAGGTTTTGTAAGTTTTGTTCAGGAATCCTCCTAAAGCAAGTCAATTATTTTAAAAAAAATTTAATCACTTTTAACATCGGTCATGCCATAACCGATGTTAAAAGCTAGACTTCTAAAATCGGTTTATGCATGATCGATGTTAAAAGTATAACTTTTAAAATTGGTTATGGCATGACCGATGTTAAAAGTATTACTTTTTAAAATCGGTCAGAAAACTAATTTTAAAAGTAAAAAATGACCGATTTTAAAAGTATTTTTTCTACTAGTGAATGCTTCAATCCAATCGGAGAGATAAGTCCTAAATAAAAAACGAGTCTTGTCGTCATGCATCGTGAACAGAAAAATTCCCAAAAATCTCGCACCGCTGTCACCGAAAATCGCTGGAGAGAAAAATAATATTAAAACACTCACGTGCTTCAACCCAATCCATACACGCCTAAATGAAAGATCAATACACGCATGAAAACACTAACTTCAATCCATTAAAACGTCTAAATGCTTCAACCCAATCGAAGAGATAAATTCAGAATCAAAAATGGGTTTCGCCCATTTAAAATGAAGATCCTTTGAAAATGTTGGATATATATAAATTCCCCGAAATTGGTTGAAATAGATCAATATGAAGGTAAAACTACGGGTGCTTTTAGTTTTACCCACCGTGAGAGTAAGAGTTAAATATCAAGAAAGAGGAGTTTTTTTTTTTTTTTTTTTTATAAATATAATCTTAGCTACGGGTAAATTGCAAACTTTAAAGTAAGACTTTTGATATTAGCTAATTTAAAAATATTTTATAAGATAAATTTAATGAGAATTGATATAATAAAATATGTCTCATGTTTATTTGAAATCAATGACTAATTAATTTTTAAGCACGAGAGTATAAGAAAAATTTATGACCTTAAAAAACATGACTTTATTCACTAAATTAATTTTTAATTAAATTTATTCACTAAGAAATAATTTATATCACTATATTTGACCAACTAATAATAAAAATGGTGTAAATACTAATACTAAAAAACATTTCTTCTTAAGAATTTAAAATAATTAAAAATTAAATCGTCTTATATTTTATAGTTTAAATTAATCTTGTATATCAATTTACAATTTGTCAAATGAGTCGGTTCAACCTCACATATTAAGATTAATATATGTTTGTAAAATTGGTCATTTTAACCAAATTTTTGTAAGTCATTTATTTTATAACTTAGTTTAACTCATTTGGTTTGAATAAAATTGATCTGTTTTTTTTTAAATAATAAAAATAATATTGTTATAGAAAAAAGCATGATAAGTTTCATACATATCGTCAACCAATCAATCGGCCAGCCCGTCAAATCCGAACATAGGATTTACAATCTGGTTTGTTTCTATCACTCAAAACCAACAAGGGCAATAAACAGATTTCCTGCTTCAAAATGTATCTATTCCTGTAAAAAGGCGTGAATTGCTTTCATGCAAGACTTCTAGAACCCTAACTAGCTACCAGGGTCCATGGATATGGAAGCAAGATCTAGAGTATCAAATGTGACAATCAGTTTTCCCAATTATATCTTGCATTGTCATGTCTCAAGACTGAAGTCAACGCCAATTGCCAAGTGCTATGTTATATCAATTATCAAATGTAGTCACCACTCACACTACAATATTTTTTCTTCACTACCCGACACCCAAAGCCACTTCTTTTCCATTTGTAATTTTCATCACTATCTAGTACATTTAACTAAACATATATAGAACAATACTATTTATATGATGCAATAATCTTAGTAATTAATATGATGAAAAATCAGTGTCAAACACTCAAAAGTAATAAAACAGAAAAAGGTTAACATCTTTTCCAGTCTTACTAACACTTTTGATTATCGTAATTTAATTTATTTTAATTTTGGTTCCTTTAATTTTAATTGTTTAAATTTAATATTTTTTAATTATTTAAATTAAATCTTTTATCTCAAAATCTCATCAAATAATTATGTGCAATATGAATGAAGAATGGCGTATCGTTAATTTGTATGACAAAAGTCATTTTTTAATAATTATTTTATATATCTTTAACTTTGTAAATCTATACAAATCAATGATATATAAAGCACACCTGTTACATTTTTATTCATTATTGAAGAAAAAAATTAAGACGAGAGACTTAATTTGAATAATTGAAAAACTATGAGAAGTAAATGTAAATAATTAAAATTATGTAACTAAAGTATTACACAGACTGAGGCTATAGTAGATTAATTAAAAGTTTAAATAATTGTTTAGACTAATTAATAACCTTTATCTAAGCTAGATTTTGTTTTTATCACATATAGTCAATATTTTATTAAAGACAAATTTAAAATCAAAATAAGATTATAAATCTATTGCAAACTTTCAAAAACCCCAACCTACGTACTGGCCGATTCTTATGACTTTATTGTTAGATTCCCACTAACTTATAAATGACTCTGATTATGATGCATTATCAGCATAAATTTTCTCTAGTTATTTTCTAATTTGGTGTTGGCATCTCATTTATTAAATTTGACTACATTAATTTTCAAATAAGATGTCAAACTTTCATTAAATAAGATGTCAAACAGCCTGTCAAAATTTGTGACACCTTTGTTATGGTTTTTCTCTATCTCTCTTCACACACGTAAGAGAATTTATTTCTCTACAAATAACAGCAAAACATCATTAATTAAATATGAGTTAATCATCTATACATTGTTAGTGTAAAGTTTTTTACATTAGGAACCAATTATATCTTTTAAATTATTTTTTTATTATTTTTATTTGATTAAATAAGTAAATGACATAACACTATTAAAAGATATGATTGATTGTCAGTGCAAAAAAAACTTTACACTGACAGTGTATTGGTGATTTAATATAAATATAAATATATTTAAATTTTAACTATAATATACAGTATAATATAATATTTGATTAGGTCTAAATGTGTAAATTTATTGTGTCTCACTAATCAAGTAGAAAGAGGTCTAATTAATTAGAATTGAAGGAGACTCCATTATTTTGAGAGAAAAAATTAGTAAACGAAAAGATGAGAAGAGAAATTCACTCTTTGCATGTTTATGTGTCCTTTAGGTTTTAACTAGAGATTCATTTATCATTAGATTAGATTAGGCATGGCAACGGGGCGGGGCGGGGGCGGGTTTTACGTTCCCCGCCCCCGCTCCCGCAAATTTAAACTGCCCCCGCCCCGTCCCGATCCCTGCCGCGAATAAAATCTGGGTTCCTATCCCCGCTCCCGGCGAGGTTCGGGTTTCCCTGCCCCGCCCCCGCCCCCGCTCCTATTTTTTTTCCTTCTTTTTTCTTTTAAATAAATATGAAAAATTTTAAAAAAATTAAAAAAAAAGTAAAATAATATAAATTTTTACATATAAATATTTCTAATTTTGATTTATATATATATATATAATTTTTTTAATTATATTATTAAGCGGGGCGGGGGCAGGTGGGTATTAACATCCCCGCCCCCACCCCCGCCCCCGATTTTATCAATCAGGGGAAAACCCGAACCCGAACCCGAACCCGATAAACACGGGTTTTCCCCTTCCAAATCGTTTGGGCGGGTACCCACGGAGGCGGGTTAGATTATCATGCCTAGATTAGATTGAATTTTAGACAATAAATTTATCCGAAATAATCCTTCGTTTTTAATGGTTTAGTTATCAAAAGAAGGTTTTGAGTGAGAGAAAAATGACTTGTATTAACGGTTGCATTTTTTGCAATTTTTCATCTTTTTGTTTCTCATTTATAAGCATTGGTACTTAGTTTGTTTGATTGGGTGGATGCATTCATTTGTGCACTTGTTGAAAACTTTCTTGTATCCTTTGTTTATCAGAAACTTTTTTTTTCTTTTCAATTTTTACTTTCATATTAAAGAAATTTTCATGTTAAAAATCTCTCTTTCTTGTGAGTTTGAATTATTTATTTATTTATTTATTTTATCTATTGGTGCTCCTTCAAGTTAGAGAATTTTATTTTCGTTACTTAATGCTTATTGTTTTTTTATTAAGTTATTGCTATTGCATTCTACTTTTTTCTCATAAATTATTCATTACTTTGGGACATGATCCTACCGGAAAAAGAAATACTATACATATCATGCAATCAACTTACTGCTCTGGTTGATCATATCATGTCTTAAGATTAGCTTGAGGTAGAAATTTCAAACATTCTTTAATAGCAATAGTGAATAAATCGACAAGATAATTTACAGACCATTTCTTATCTTCAAGCAGTATGTTTTTTTAGCTTCCTGGATTTCCTACAACACCCACTTTTTGTCTATGCTTTTTTTAGCTTCAGAGGGCTTTTTTCCCCAAAGAAAGTGTCGGTACTTTTCTTTTTCTTAGCTAGATCACTTTCGAAATTTACCATGTGTTCAAGCACGTTATACAAAAAATAAATAAATAAATAAATAATATATATATATATATAAAATAT